CTAACTTTAGTTTATTGAGAAATTCTTAGATAAATCCATCATATCATGTCATCTAACGTCTATTTAATAAAATTATATAAATTCAATTAAATAAAATTTTGTGTTATCATCAACAGAAAAAAAATTTATGTGCCATTATTTTTAATGGCTTTATTTTTATAATATAATATCTATTTAATTTCTTGCATTTTCTTCTTATATTATCATTAATATTATAATTAATTTATATTTAATATAATATGAATGTCATATTCTTAAAATTTCTCCAGTTTATAAACGGCAGTTTGCAGAGACTTTAATTTTTGAAACACTAATCCAAACGCAAAAGCGGCTTCACGTGCGCTCCTAGAAGAGAAGCTCTTTTAAATCACGGCCTGGACGAGCGCGAAGCATTTAAGCAAATATGCTCCCAATGCTAATGGAAAAACTTCCTTTGGTGAAAAATATAAGGAATTTTTTAAAAGTTAAATATTTAAAAATATAAAATATTTTAGTTTTTAAAAATATAATAATAATTTTTTTTTAAAGTATTCTTATTGAATAAATTATTTTATATTTATTGTAAGGTGAAATATCTTATTAAATAAAAATAAATATAAAAAGATAGCGTTAATTTGAAGACAAGTAACTATTTTATTAAGAATGATATTTAATTAAAAATATTTTATATTTTTAAACGGAGGAAATAACATTGAGTAGAAAACTTAATCGCAAAGAATATATTAGTGACCGGGTAATTAGAAAAGGAAATTAAAGCAGGACTTGGCTAATAAAACATAATAATAATACTTTATAAATTTACATTTTTAAAATAAAATTATAAACTTTAAAAAATATCCTTACACATTTAATTATTAATATTATTTTAAATCTCTCCATTTAAAGGATAATAATAAAAAAATATTATTAATAAAATTTTATTTTTCTTAAATTATCTTGTATTTTGGATAATAAAATTTATTTAAAATTATTTTATAATTTAAAATGAAGGGAGTAGTAGAGTTTGCTTTTGGAAAAAGCACGCTGGATACATCAATCGCGTGGGGCTATACCTGGATTAGACGGCCATTTTGGGTGACATCAAGAGGATGTGAGTTATGAAAGCTTTGATTTATTTCATATACGACAGACTTAGACCTTGTGGCGAAGGAAATTACAATTACAACTTATAAGATTAATAATAAATAATAATAATAATAATAATAATAATAATAATGAATTATTAACAATAATGTATCTTGTAGCGGTGGAGAAAGATGAGAGTGATGCGGGGGTAGACATCACTCGTGGTATCATTCATTTCCACTCGTTTTTTTTTTTAATTCATTTCTCCATCTAAACTTAATTTCTACCATTTTCGTACATCTAAGATTAAAAACCACTAGTTTTATGTTGCATTGAAATCTTTGCTTTTTGTATGTATACTAATTCATAAGTAATTATCACGCGTTAGAGTTTTGTAAAGTTGTTTCTTAATTAACTTGCTTAAATTCACGTCAACTTTGACAATAGAAAACTATCTAGCAACTCTTTTCAACGTTTCTTTATTATATTCAGTTAATTAATTGAAGGTATAGTTACCAGAACTGAACGGCTATATTTAACTATATATGTTTCTTGGTGGTTGCACAAGTGATCCACTTAGAAGATAGGAAAACCATAGACAGAGAGAAAAATAATATACACTCCCTTTTTTAATATTATAAGATATTTTAAATCAAATTATAATTTTAAAAAAATTAATTAATTATCTTTAAAATTGTACTCTCTTTTCATATTTACTTTTATTTAACATGATATTAATTAAAAAAATATATTAATTATACCCTTAATTAAGAATATTTTTTCGTAAAAACTTTCATTAACTAATTATATCTTGAAAGAAAAAATATTTTATAATATTTTACCTTAATAAAAATATTTTATATTTTTGAATATATATATTCTATATTTAAAGTCATGATGGAAGGACTCGATCCGTCGACATATGTTCCTATAATAATAAGTAAAGCTTGAACATATACATTGGATGTCGTGTCTCGTGGATCCCACTTGCTTGTTCACATGTTCTGGACGAAACCAGTGTAACCCTTATCAGTAAGCAATGGCAAATCAGCGATCACGCGGTTATTTGAATCCATACGCGGTGCGTCACAATAATTATTGCTAACGGCAGCTATAGCTTTGCCTATTTGGGTTACTGTTTGAATCCATTAATTTGTTATTCTTTTTCATATTATATGCACGGGCACACATATACATAGTCCTTGTTCGTCCAGTTCTATATAAGTAAGCCGCCTCTATGTCTTTCCCTGATCGCATTCTTGTGTGGGATACAAACCCTTGACAGTTTCAAAAGGTGTCTCCCACGATTGAAAGCAAAGGGAGAGATACTACAGTCTACGCACATGACCAATTACAATTTAGCATCTCCTTAAATCTGTTATCATCAATTTGAGACACCGAATTTGTTGGGTCCTACGCTAAATTAAGTCTACTCACACTCGATATCTCAGCAAAGTTAACCTAAAAATTTGCACTGAGAGAGACACGTACATATACGTTGGATGTTACTGTACGCGGATTAAAGCCATTTAGATATATTAATGCATATTTTCACATGTCAACACACGAACTTCTCCTCATGAAGGAGTACTTATAATAATATAAAATTAATAAATAAATAAAACATGAATTATATATGTGAGGTGGTTCATTGGTTCACCTAAACAGAAGAAAAAGGGTTGGGGGTTGGGGATCAAGGGATGCTTCAGAAAGTAGCGATACATTGAAGTCCGCAGAAACATATATATAGATAGGATTGGTTTCAAGGATAGATATACGTGCCTTTATTTTTTATTTGGAGTTATTTTAAGCACGCAACCGATCAATAAATATATACTCGGCAGATCCAGGTTTTCGAGGAAGCGATGATGATGAACCCGAATATATATGTATGTATGTATATAATACACCTTATGATGGATCATGCCTAAAATCTGGACAGTCTAGTGTGGTCCTTTCATTAATTGGCAAAAGTGGTGCAATTGGATTCGGATCACAAGCCTATCACTGTTGATTGGACTTATTCTTCATTCGTTGCGCCGCGCGATAATATTAGCATATTCTCGGGCCTTGACTTGTGCGGTCACTAAATAGTAAACTAGTCAAACCGCCAAGCTATTCTATTCTTCTCTCATGTCTAGTTGCTGTTTTGATTTTTCTCCTTCATTGATTGCAAACGACCAAAGAAGATGCTTATGCTTGTCAAGGATAATTCAGCATAAATCAAAAGGATCGAGAGAGACAAGTTTTGGTTTTAATCTGATCTTCATCATCGTTCCAAAAAAGAGATTCTTTTCTTTTTCATTTAAATATACATGAAGTTTAGAATTTCAATACGTCTCACGTGATGATCTCTTCATGCACCTTTCCTCGCTTCAAATAACATGTGAAAATTATTGAGTCTCAACTTTTATTTTTTAAATTAAATCAAAAGGAAAAACAGATCTTTGATTGTATATTATGCATGGGTTTAAGTTAATTAAATTGGACCGACAGCTTTTAATTTAAATACTCCAAGGATTTGTGAACTGAAATGATCAGGAATTTTTGTTTGGGATATTGATTACTTTTGCAGGTGGCTCTTACTGGACCAGGATTCCTTTCTTATTTCTACGAAAGAACCTTAATAGTCTGCTTTTCTCTCACTTTTTGATCTCATGTGCCACCTTGCGATATAGTTACAACTTTAATCGATTTGTCTGCTATACTTTATTTGTTGTTTTTCTAATTTATACCGGTCATGTTCTACTAATAAACTTCACGTAATTTTTATATCCATAGTGTTTTCGTGGCCTCATGCCGCGTACATGGTGTCACTGCAACAAAAATGACTCTTCTGTTACATCAGTGAGAAATATATTAATTATTTTCCCTTAGCTTGCCACTTTGTAGGAGAAAAAAGAGTCTGAAAAAATGACGACAGAGATTGAGGGTAACGTGGGAGAGGATGACTAGGCAAAAATACAGAGACAGCCAGACAGCTGGTTACGCAATTCATCAAATATTTCCAGACGAACATGAACAGTTCGACACATGCATGCGTGTAGATAATGATAGACCGGTCACCGTATGTTCATATCTATGCTAATTATTAATTCGAAGCATTTACTGCAAAATAAAATCTACAACGTACAAGAAAAGGTGTCCACAGAGAGATCGTCCACTTGGCGGGGGCCAAATTAAACCAATTAAATTATGTTGAACAAACAAGTGAAGTACCGAAGTTGTAATCCTATATAGAAAGACTGTGTATGAGGAAGTGAAGAAAACAAATAAGAGATGAATTATTGGAACCTAATTGCTTGGTCGACATGAGATATCATAATCACAGAGTACAGTAACGCGCGTCTGGTTTTCATCATCAGAACACCTAATAGGTCAACGTTTACGACTTGCCTATGGACTTTTGTAGTGTGAAAAATTAATATAATATTATCCCATCAAAACTAGAAAACAAAGGGAATACTGTAGTATTAATCATAGCCACTCTATTATATATGTTGGGGTTTTTTTTAAAAAAAAAATCTTATAATTATACGTACCGTATCTATACCTTTATAACTTAGAATAAAGTTATTTGATGCAATATTTGTAAAATTACGTTATTAATTTGTGGCACTTTCAAAACCCAAAGTGAGTGGGTGCCATAAAAATCAGGAAATGGATGGACCAAAACTCAACATGAGGAAGGTGTGGGGACAGAAGCCAGAAGAGAAAACAGCACCTTCAATGGTTCATATTACAGCCCTGTCAAAAATTCCACCATGTCGTCTCATAGCCTCTTAATATACAAGTCTCCTAACTAAATAATCTGCCATATTAATATATATTCCATATATATATATATATATATAACTGGAAGCTTTTGAATTTTCTCTCCATCGTTTTCTCAACCTCGCTGCCTTAATTTCAATAAAGCGAAACCCTTGTGGCGTAAAAAAATTCGTCACCACCTGTCGCCCGCTTTGACTTGGACTCTCATCATCAGGCCCTCGCTCTCTATTTAACTTGCTCACAAGCAATGCTATTTTCTCACGACCTCTCGCTTTTCCTTCTCTCTCACTGATTCAAACATCTGACATGGCGGGCGCTGATCAGTTTCAGAGGAACAGCATGTACATAGAAACCCCAGAAGGGTTCGGCGATGGAGGCAAGAACATGCTGGATGACGACGGAAGAGCCAAAAGAACAGGTGTGTGTGTGTTGGTTATGATGATGAACTACTTGAATATTATTATTATTTGTTTGTGAATTAAATAATGATAATAATACTGGTGACGACGGACAGGGACGTGGGTGACGGCGAGCGCGCACATAATCACGGCGGTGATAGGGTCGGGAGTGTTATCGCTGGCGTGGGCGATAGCGCAGATGGGGTGGGTGGCCGGACCGGCGGTGCTGATGGCATTCTCCTTCATAACATATTTCACTTCTACTCTTCTCGCCGACTGTTATCGCTCTCCGGATCCTGTCCATGGCAAGCGCAACTACACCTACTCCATGGTTGTTCGCTCTGTCCTAGGTATTTCATTCTCATTCTCTTCTTCGTAACTCATGTATATATTCATATATCTGTGTCTGTGGACTGCTTTAATTAAGTTTACTTCTTGCTTGGTTGTTGTTATTGCTTATTACTACCACCAACTGAACCACTTACTTGACTGAATGATGAAGATGTGAAATGAAGTATTTAGGTAGAGGTTTAAACGAAAGTGGTGATAACTGCATGCAAGTTTTAAAATCCAAACCTTCATACGGTTTGTGTACGTATGTGTGTGTAGTTTTGGGATCAATGACCAAAAAATGTCCAAATGCCCATGAAAGTATGTATAATTTAACAAATTTTTATATTTGAAGGTGAAACTTAAAGCAAACTTTTTAAAGGTCTTTTTAAAATTAAGATTCTTAGCACTAAGTAGTGGAAAAAACAATATTTCTTTTTCCTGTTTAATTAGAACATATAGCTAGTGATATTTTGAAAAAGAAGAAGAAGAAGAAGAATCTAGTTTTTAAGTCTCAAAGGTTGGACTTCAATTGAATGCACTATTGCCTTTATTTGTAGGAGGGAGGAAGTTTCAGCTATGCGGATTGGCTCAATATGTAAATCTAGTAGGTGTAACCATCGGCTACACTATAACTGCGTCAATTAGTATCGTGTAAGTAACATAACCATTAACACATAAATTATTACAAAGCATATACTACACGCGCGCGCGCGTTCCTCTTTATCAGTCTTATATATAGATCATGACTCATCGTGTGACATGCATATATATATATATATATATAAACAGGGCGGTGAAAAGGTCGAACTGTTTCCACAAGCATGGACATCAAGACAAGTGCAACATATCAAACTACCCATACATGATCTTATTTGCATGCGTCCAAATACTTCTCAGCCAAATCCCAAACTTCCACAAGCTTTCTTGGCTCTCCATTCTCGCTGCTATCATGTCTTTTGCTTATTCCTCTATTGGCCTCGGTCTCTCCATCGCTAAAATAGCCGGTAGTTCCCTTTATTACTTCATTCTCTACTTTATTTTTTACCATCTGCTTTTCATTTCCAAGTGTTACTATCTACATATATATTGGTCCTGGTTTACTTTCACTTTTCTGATAAAAAAAAGTTGTTTGTTAAATTTGTGGATACCATGAAGAGGGCAACCATGTGCAAACATCCTTAACAGGAGTGCAAGTTGGGGTTGACGTGTCAGCATCTGAGAAGGTCTGGAGAACCTTCCAAGCCATTGGTGATATTGCCTTCGCTTATGCCTTTTCCAATGTCCTCATTGAAATTCAGGCAAGCTCTCTCTCTCTCTCTCTCTCTCTATATATATATATATATATATTGTTCCCTTTTTATTACAATATTTAACTAATAGTATTATTATACTTATAAGTTCTGTCTGTTGTTTGTTTGATTGTTTGTTAATACTTAATACACTTGCCCCTTGAATTATGCACAATAGGTTCCGCATGCTAGCCTAGCTTGTATTCTTGTATACATGCATGCATATATATATGTGTGTGTGTGTTTGTCTATATATCTCTATTATTGGTGTGAGTAGGTGAAGATATTTATTACTCTCTTCATTAAAAATTGTGAGGCATTTTGAGGAATTAAATGTTAAAAAATGTAAGACATTTTTAATCTTTTGAGATGTAATTATTACTTTTTTTTAAAAGTGCCCCTATTAATAATGAATTTATATTTATTATATAGTGTTTAATAGGAATAAATATAAAAAGATAGAGTTAGTTGAAAAGTAAGTAATTACTTTATTAAAAGGTGAGATTCGATTAAAAATACTTTATATTTTTTAAATGAAGGGAGTATATATTCATGCGTATTTCGTGCAAGACTGTTTTTGGTTGAAAGAAAAGACATTATAATATTTTTTAAAGGTTTCGACATGAACCGCATCTGATTCTTTCACACGTGTAACTTTCCATTTACATGCTAAAATTTAGACAGAAGAAAACAATTAAAAGATTTGGTTCAGTATATTGCTTCCACTCGATCGGTATTGTAGGGTGACCACATGTTTTAAAGGTGAGATCGAGGACCATGCATTTTTGTTTGATGCATTGTCATAAAATACTTAGCTTTGCTCATAAAAAATTGCAATTCATCATCCTTGGATTAGATAATTAAAATTAAAAATTATTAAATTTTCACTAACACTTGAAATACTTTATTTTGACGATAGAAACATTAATTAATAAATTGTTAAATTATTTAATGATGCAAAATGAATGCAATTCTATTCATAGAAACCACTCTATACAACCGTTTATTATTGTTGAGTTGGGGCGGTGGTGCGGTGCATTAAATCTGAACATCAAGCGATAAACAATATGCATGTGTCCATAATTAATTAAGACGATGAATGTAAATGCTTTAACCGACTAGTTTTGATATACAGAAAATCTTTCATTTTCATTGAACCAAACTCTGCATCTTCTGCAACATTAGGCTAGCTTGTTCTACCTTCTTTATGCATTGTCACGACGACAAATACCCAAGATGAGATTACATGTATAACGGTCAGAAGTTGTGGCAAGAATGCTTCTGTTAAATAGGTTGGTGAACAATCAGGTAAAAAAACAAAAGTGAGGTTTGTGAATAAGAAATTAAAAAACCATCTTTGCTTCGAAAAGGAAAAATAAAGAGGTATGAAACCATCTTTAGTCATATTACAATCTAAAGAAGAGCGAATCAGTTCTCTTTTTGGTCATTTTCACAGTCCTGATTGATCCATTCTTTTACAGTTTTTTTTTCCACCCTTGAAACCTCATGCAGAAATATAATTCGATCATTATGAAAATAAGATATTCAATTTCAAGGCTGGCGAATAGAGAATAAGAGGTTTAGTACTGATAAGGTTCTACCAAATGCAATTCATTTTCCCCCCATAAAGATAATAAAGAATTTATTCTTATCAGAATCAAAAGATTCCCAGTCCTTCCTTTTACCCCCCAACTTTCCCATGCCTTTCCTACCAATAAATCATTAATAGATGCCGAAAGGAATTCTACTTCCAATATAGGAGGACGCTGTATTTTCTTTTTAATAAATAACTACTGCTAGTGTTTCAGTAAGATTCCTTTTAGACACGAAATATCAAATTGACGGACCGCTAGCTCCAATAACACCTTTTTCTAAAAGAAATATGGAAAAAAGAAAAAGAAGATTCATCTTTAAACGTAGGACCCCATCTCAACTGGCCTCATGTTCCAACACTCCAAGCTCTTTGATCGACCATCCTTTTTGGGTTTATTTCCATCATTTATGTGTCTGCCTGCTACCACTTGTCTAAAGCACATTGTTCCCTTGACTCTTAATGTTAGGTAGGTCTGTACACTCATATGGCAAGGATCAACTCCTTCCACCCTGCTTACTATTTATATTAATTACAATAAAAAAATATGTAAACTGTTTATATCAATTATACACAAACAAACGCTTACTAAGCCGAAAGTTAACTTCACTCGTGAATAAAATAAATAGTCATAGAGCCACAAAATTTTGCTAGCTTCCGTAGAAATAGAAGTTGATTATTGTTGGAGAGTATAGTGAAGGTAAGTCAGTCCCAGGTTAATTTTTTCAGTGACGGTCATATTTGGGTTTGCCTATAAAACTAATTGATTTATAAATTTAATGAACCAAAATCTGGGGTTATAAATTCACCAAGTGATGGTTGTCCAAACAAAGACATACCTACTGATTCAAAGGGAGTTGGGGGGGGGGGCAAATTTGTTAAAAGTAGGAGCTATTTGTACAAGGTGCTTTGTAGGAACATGGCTCTCATGGATGAAACGTGGAAGTCCTGGCTTTCATGCCCCACTATAATGAGGACCATATGGTTATTGCAGGACACTCTGAAATCAAGCCCTCCAGAGAACAGAGTGATGAAGAGAGCAAGTTTGATTGGCATTATGACCACTACCCTATTCTATGTCCTATGCGGATGCCTAGGTTATGCAGCATTTGGAAATGATGCCCCTGGAAATTTCCTCACAGGATTTGGCTTCTATGAACCCTTTTGGCTCATTGATTTTGCCAACGTCTGCATAGCTGTTCATCTGATTGGAGCATACCAGGTAGAGTATAAACTAAATTAAAATGGAAAAAAATTAAATAATTGTCAATCAGAAAAGATGCATGAACATGCCAAATCTTCAAATCTATTTAACTGCTTCTTTGGGTGGATTCACGCAGTTTAAAGTATCATAACTCATGCTTGGGATGATTTCATTGTAGCAGGTATTTTGTCAGCCCATTTTTGGGTTCGTAGAGAACTTGAGCAAAGAAAAGTGGTCTGAAAGCAAATTTATAAATCGGGAGTACGCAGTGAAGATTCCTCTAAGCGAAGGAACATATTACCTGAACTTCTTCAGGCTGTTGTGGAGGACTGCATATGTTATCGTTACAGCGGTGATAGCTATGATATTCCCATTCTTCAATGACTTCTTGGGTCTCATTGGGTCACTCTCCTTCTGGCCTCTAACCGTTTACTTCCCCATAGAGATGTACATTAAGCAGTCCAAGATGCAAAGGGGTTCCTTCACATGGATTTGGCTTAAGATTTTGAGTTGGGTCTGCTTGGTCGTTTCTATCATTTCAGCTGCTGGATCCATTCAAGGCCTTGCTCAAGATCTCAAGAAGTATCAACCCTTCAAAGCTCAACAATAATCACGGCTAGCTACCTAGATCCCTATGACATTGTCTTCAATGCTCTTCCACTTTCCTTTTCTTTTTCTTTGAAAAAATAAAAAATGAAAATAAACTGCGAGCAAGTCCACGGAGAATTTAGGGTTATCAACTCCTCATGGGAAGGAACAAGAAACCTAGGGTAGAGTGAGCAGTATAAAATAACCCCATGGTTAGAAAGTCGGTGCACTATCATTTCAAAATACCCATCAATGGGGAACGCTCAACACACACACATTCAGTCCAGGTGTGAACCAACTTTCAGCCTGGATCTACAAGAAACTGTATTTCAATAGTACTGAAAATTCTGGACACTGTCAATAACTGAGTTCACTGGGATTTACAAATGATTTTGTTACAAACCTAGTTTAGAATTTCTTGACGGACTTGCCTTTGGCTATGGGAGACATTAAACAATGCACAACTAAGTTCTCATGGAGTCTGATTAACAACCACGAGAGTTGAAAAAATCTAGCTACCTTATATTCAAGTGCAAAAATTTGTTCCCAGTAACATGGCATGAAATCCTGTAAGGGAACAAGGACAAAGGTTATAGAAACAGAAACTGAATCAGTTGCTCTCCTCCCCATTTCTGTTTCTCAAGTGATATAAACTTATTGTGATGGGATGGACAATACCAAAACTAGCACAAATATTTACTTAAATTAATAGACACATTGCCACACCACACTAGCACATTGCCGCATCACAGAAGATGTGGAAATCCTTCAATAAATGAATATTATAAATAGAATAAATAAATAAATCAATTTTTTATAACAACAAATTTAGGTGAGTTGGGTCTGAGAGCTCACTAGGGCTAGAGCATGCTTGTAGACTCAAAGAACACTTACAGAAGTATTTATAAATCACCCACCGACAAGATTCTTATATAGACAATGAGATTTAAACTCATAACTTTATGGGTTAAGGATCAAATCCTAACCAATTGGACTAACTTTTGTTGGTAACATATCATAAATTCTGATATGTATAAAGTTTAGAAATAGTCAAGTCCTCTGGCTCTAACCTCAAGCTAATACCTTAATGGTTCCTGAGCTGGGATAGGCACGCCAGATCAAATGCTCTACTATTATCTTTCATTTCTTTTCTTCCTTCATTTTGGTAGGGAGGGAAGTGAGGAAAGCTAATTTAGGTTCAACTGAAAAACATACAATGCGTGCAAGAATCTGACAAATAGTGTACATATTAACTCATCCCAGTAAAGGTGTCAATACACCAACTGCCTGTGCTTGAAGATGCCAAAGGATGTAACCGTTGATAATTTACTGGGCGTATTTTGAGCTTCTACAGGCATCATAACACTCAATTGAGGTTATCAGAGAGATTGGAAAGGCTTGTCTAACGATCACTTTTTTTTTTTTTTCCAAAATTAAACACAAACGTAGCAGCAAGCTAAGCATAATCAATTTTTTAGAGAATATATTTAATACCATACACGTCATTCCTTATATGGATTTTTAACTCATAGAAGTACTCTTAAGCATATAAATTAGTCAAGTACATAAGCCAAAAATTCTAACACCTTACATGACATTTCCTTCGGAGATTTTAACTAAACGTAAGTACCACTAAGCATATAAACTAGCGCAATTACAACTTCCAAAAAAAAAGCAAATGTGTTACCCAGAGAGACGACTTAAGCAGATTCATTCTCACTCATGACAAATGCTTGAATGAGACTCTGTGCAGCATGAGTCTGTTCTGGAGTTCCGGATATTATAATTGCAGTTTCCACTGCTCCAGGCTTTGGATCAGTGATGGTGATTTTTGCATCAGAGATCTGGAAGAACAAATTACATTGTCTATCAGTTCATCAACTAGCATTAAGGAGTCTCCAAACAACAAGAAACAATCCAGTTTTCCAGCCAAAGTTTCAGAGATGGCAAGTTCTATTTATTATTCTCATTTTTTCTTTTTGTAGGTGGCTTTTTTTAGTCATTTTAACCACAATGTCTAACAGAAAGAGACTGATAAATTTGCTGACATTTATGAAACTTATGCACATCAAAGCATTCATAACATGCATGATGAGATATATGTTCCTTGTATGCTTGTGCCAAAAGCATGCACAGACATGGACGTGTGAGTGAAAGAATACTAATGCAGAGGTGGATTGTGTTGTAGCTTACTAGCTTTCAACTCAGGCCAAAGGAGAGTAGAAAAAACATCTCATAGTAACAGCCAGAAAAACACCCTCAACTAATATCAAAGATTACCAGCGCACTGAACTCAGTAGGCAATGGTTCTTTGGCATCCATCAACATTAGAATTCAAGATAGCAATTCGATAAACTTACCTCACGTATTTGTTTCAGACATTCACCATCTTCCCCATATATTACAGGAACTAGAGCACGAGGAACAACTACTTCAACTGTGGTGCTAGTGATAATTGGTTGTTGGCTTATTCTACACAATAAATTACCAGTTATTGTTGAAAAACTAAAATAATCGGGGGGGGGGGGATAGAAAATTAGTGATAAGGATAATATTCACAATGATGGACTAACCCTGAAAATCCTGAAATTCTTCTAGGCGGACCTCCTGCAAAGTCCGGCATGCCCATGGGTCTGCCACCTTCATGTAGCCCCTTGGAACCAGTTATTTAATATGATTAAATCAAACAGTTGATTTATCATTGTTAAGGAAAAAATGAGATGCAAAACATAACGAATTCTCTCCAACAAAGCACAATATGCCATTTTTTTTCTAAATTCCATATGTTGGATAGGCATATAAATTTGCCAATTTGACTAAAATAAATAATTTGTCCACGTTTTAGTCCAGTCCTCTTCTAGACTTTAATAAGACATGTTTATTTTAACCAATTAAATTTCCTTAAATCAACTGTTAGCAGGCAGGGATTTATCTAAAGTTCTCCAAGGAACATGAACTAGGTGAACGGCTTTTCTTTTCTCAGACACTCAATCATGACAAATAATTTCCATTATTTTTCTGAAGTATCTGTTATCTGTTTATATGCAAATAATAACAAATATATATATAAACCTTTGGAAAAGGTTATATATAAAAGTTCCTTCACATGCTACATCTTTATTAGAAAATATAATAGCAATAACAAAAAACTTTAAACAATAAATAATTTCAAATGCAAGAGAATGCATCACCCAAAATACAGATACACATTTTCATTAAAATGATTATCATATAAATATATTGATTCTGATCCCCACATAACTCCTGTTAGATCACCCCCTGACTCTTTCCAAGTTCAATTTTCCAAAACTGGTTTCAACATGCAGCACAGGTATCAGACAGAAGATATCCTAAATGGAAAGATAGATATGCTTGGCAGTAGCAAGCCACAATAAGCATAGAAGAAAGTAAAACAATCAATACCTGAGGACCCCAAGGCCTCCTTTCAGATAGGTATGGAGGAACACCAGGTCTTGGCAAATTATGCATAAAAAGAGGGCGATCATCATGGGGAAAACCACCATGAGAAGGTGGAGCACCAATAGCATCAAACTTGTTAAAAGGAAGACCTAAGTTAGAATACATTCCAGGAGGTGAAAGTTCCCTCCTTCCCATGTATGGTGGGAAGGGATGGAGTTGATCGAGAAATGCAGGATTGGAGGGATAGTTGATTGATGGATATGCATCACGAAAGAAATGATGTCGTAATCTAGTGGTTATTTGCAAAAGAGCATCCTGCACTGCCTCAACTTCTCCACTTATCTAGCAGAAGAAGAAACAGGATAAGTGCCTAAACGGTGTGATCATATATCATAACTTAAATAGAATTGACAACATGTTCAAACACAATTTTTTTTTATAGAAAGAGACAATAAGATGTCTAAATTTAATTATTAATGAGTTATTTTGACAGCCGAGACTTGGAAAGAAAGAAAGAACAATTTCTCATTCCAGTTAATGAATAGAGGTAAGAAATTCCTGCATTGCAGTGCTGAAAATTAGAGTAGGCTTGAAAATGAAGAGGAAGTCTGCCTATATCACCTAAATCCAGGGTAGGATAGTTTAATTTAACCAAATTAATTAAATAAATAGTACACCATGTAAAATAAAAGGAAGATTTATTTACTCAGAAAAAATCAAAGTAAACCACACACACACACACACACACACACACACCTGTACTACTTCTTCATCTTCTGAAGCACATTTTGGGACCTGGTCTTTTCCTAATATACGAATATGGGCCCCAGACAACTTCCTCATTTCGGTTATGATGGAACCACCCTTGCCAAGGAGACAACCTATTTGATTGGAGGAAACAAGAATCCTAGCTAACATACTATGCTCTTTGACATCAGGTATGGCTCTGACTATCCTAGTTTGCACACGAAGTACAGCATCTTGCACGGGAGATATTCTATCATCTGGGTGCTGCAATTAGCAAATTATTTTTAGTGAAGCAAGAAATTTGGGTCAAGACCCATATAACTTGAGAAACTGAGAGTTGCATCATACCGCAGGGCCAGATATGACAATAATGCGATCCTCTGAATCAGATTCACTTTCAATAACCTTGATTTCACTTGCAGTCTCTTGCTGTACAGTCTTTATTATTGCTCCACCTTTACCAATAATACTTCCTACCCTCTCAGCATAACACAATAAACGAAAAGTCAGCATTTCCTGTGAAGGCCTCATTCGACCATGAATACCTTCATGAAATTTGGGTAGCAGGGGTGGAGGAGCAGAGTGGAAGTCAGAAATATCACGAGATCCAGCAGGCCCTCCTTGAGCACCAAAGGAACGGCTGGGTGGTGGGAACTGACCAAATGAATGAGATGGCCCTATAGCATTTGATATTACAGATTCATGATCCCGGGATGGATTCACCATCAGCTGCTGAGAAACAGAATGAAGAGCTTTTCTCACAACTTCAACTTCCCCCGTGATCTAGAGAATAGAACAAATATTAAAAATACTGTGGCAGAAATAAAGATTCCCTTTCTTGAGTTTAACTCCAATATGATCAAGCAACTAAAAATGCACTTGACAAAAGATCAAACAGTAGTGTTGATGTCAACTTCTTATAATAACAATAATATAGAACGTCTGACATGCACTCATAAAATAATTAACCCAATATATACTTCGGCTAAAATATTGGCACCTCCAATCATATTATCAACTGAAGCTCAGAGAAGGGAGAGCTTTCTCAGCCTGCAATAGGATGGGGACATCTTTGCACACCCATTAATCATCATAAATAGGCCTTGATTTGTAAGAAACATTTTCCCGTGCCAAGAGGGTTGTTGTTGGCATTAGATACGCCCAATTTTCAAGGAGAAACAGCTTTTGGTGATCTGAAAATTGGCTTTGCCTTTTACATATGAATTAGTTATCCAAGTTTTCTGAATTTAGTAGCCAAATTACTACAGATTCTTACCCTCCTCCTTTCTTCTTTTCTAGTGAATAGCTAATTAGTCCTAGTGCTCTCTATCGTGACATGCAATTTTATCATTCAGGAGTATTAGTTTTCTTGATTTCCTTTTTAATAGTGTGACATCCTAAAACATATTTTAAAACCTAGTGCTCTCTAAAATTCTATCAATTCCTTTGCATTTAGAAAATAAACAATTAAAAAAGAGATGGTATAAAGAAAGATTAAAATATCAGCAGCTACATGAAACATAGAATTGAATATCAAAACTAACTTAAGGATTGAAATATATTGAAATAATATATAATCATGCGATGCAACATGCCAGATAAATGATGGCACCATAGCAATTGAAATTGAACTAATTTCTTATTCATAGCACATGATGATGAGTCCCAGGAAAAACAATATAGATCGAAGCTTTGAACTGTGTGGGAACCAGAATTGCCACTTGAACAGTCAACATCACGTGAGCTGTGCTGGAAAACAAAATTTACATGGTTCTAGCAATTCATGAAAGCCTGGTTCACGATAGGTCACACAAGGTCCAAAGATGGATCATCAATGACCTGACATAACCCAAAGAGGAAACAGTGCAGGGACATTCTTTTCCTTTTACCCATATCTTTTTTCTGGTAAGTATCGCTAATATGATATAATTCAACCTATTTTTCATTCCACATTCAAATCATATGATTTGATACATTTTATTATTTAAAAATTCGTCTCCTGATTCATGATTTCAATTGCAATTTGATTACTATAATTGCTATTGATATAAATTGATGCTGCAGTAAAATGCAATATTATGACTGATGGATTGTTGGACAGCATCACCAAAATTTACCTGAACTAGCTCATCGGAAGCTGATGCACACAAGGGAAGTTTATCCCTAGGAAGAATCCGAATCTGTGCCCCACTGTCAGCTGACATTTGCTTGATTACACTACCACCCTTTCCTAGAAGGCAACCAACTTGATTAGAAAGGACCAGTAGCCTCAAAACAAAGGAAGACCTGGTATCTTCTCCATCAACTTCAGTTTTCTCCTCTTCTCCTTCAACAATCCTCTCAAACACAAGAAATAGAGCCTTCTGAACAGATGAAGTCCCCTTCTCACGATTTGTATCTTCAACAGGAAGAGAAACTTGATTTTCATCATTGTCGCCATGATTTATTGTCTCATCATCTTTCCCCTTATTCTCTGTCTCTTCATTACGAACCTCCTCATTCTTCTCACCATCTTCTTTAGTCTCTTTATCAGAACCAGTAATAGTAATAACTCTTTCATCACATCCAGGTATAGTATCCTCGACTTTAACCTTCACGCCAGATTCCTGACGAATTTCTGATATGATGCTTCCACCTTTTCCAATAACACAACCAATTTTAGAAGCAGGACAGAGTAAACGGAAGACAACACTTCCAGGGGACACTTTAAAAGGTTGACTTGGTAGTAAAGAGCCTGTTGTCTTCTGCCACTTCCCTTTCCCATTTGGCTCTACAAGGCTCCTATCATTCGGCCTCTTAGATGGTGTGAGTGGAAGTGACATGGCTATGGGAATAACAGCACCCCTATTACAACTAGAAGACAAATTTAAAGTACAAATTAGTCATATCTAGAAAGCCAGGATATCACACAATGCAAGACTATAAGGATGATGTTTGCGTGTGTACGGGGTGTGTATCTGTATGTCTATATAGAGCAAAATACAGGAAATTCGATGTTAAATATATCCTTAAAAGTAAAACCAATTTTAACATCTATAAACCATTGAAAACGTGATTTAATTCTCTAAACATTTATGCTACATATACATTACACAACTATCATAACTTGGCCAAAATATAATCCGCATGATCTGATAAATAAAGGGGGGAAACATCTTTGTCTGTCTGACCAAGAATGCCAACCTCATCCATCCGTGCAGTAACTTCCTAAAAGCAAGGACTAAGGAGGCAGTTGAATCAACTACGCATCTTTACTGCATTGATAAATTTGTCTCTATAATCGGACAAAAAAAAAATTCAATGCTCGTTCCTCTCTTCAACTATTTGACTACCAAATTCCATTCTCTATACACTTGTGCTATTTATAAAACATATGGTAGGAGTACTTCATGTTACACCAAAATTTAATCCAATAAATTCATCAATGTCATTCTAAAGTTCAATCTGCCCATGGCCATCCCCTCTCATCAACCATTTGCCTAGAACACAAGAAGAGCTTCTAGCGCACATAAAAATTGCAGCGGAGCATCGGATTACTCTATTTGTTTTGTATGGTGGTTGCACAACTTATTAAAACACCAAAAATCAACACCGCTTCCCACAACAATGGTCCAAGCGAAAAATAAGCTAATAAGGATATTCTAACAAGTTTACTGCCATTTGAGAAAGAGGTCGAGGCACTACTCTAAGTAAATAACTTGGTTTTTAGTGCCAGAACGCACTCCAAAATCTCCGTTGCTCTGTGTGTGTGTGAGGTAGGTAGCTGAGGAAATACCTTGTTGCCCGATTAATATCAATACTGTAAGAACTCCTCAACGCTATGGCAAGAAATGAACCAAGGAACTCCTCAACACCAACATCCTTGCAAGGTTAACTTCAAGGAAGAAGAATACAAAGAAAAGAATTTCAGAGCCAAGATCGACGTATAATCCTACAGCGGGTGTAGAATTGATAAGAAGATTATTAGATTGATAAGATGAGAGACAGTTAATGCACTCAGTGAAGGCAAGGCTATAGCTCCCCGCACGCCCGGCGTCGACGATCGGAGGATGAGCCCCGCAAAACGGAAACCGAAGATTTTCCGCTAACCTAAGAAAACAAATGATGGCCCAGTCTAGCGGCCCAACACGAACAAAGCTACAAGAGCCCATCAACACTCTCTTTCTGAGGATCATTTTAGGAACATCATCGTGACGTGATTCATGACGACAAATTTATATGTCTGTTAAAATATTTTAAAAATTACATGAATATAATAAATATAATTAATAATAACAACAAATTTTTTTTTGTTAATACTAATAAAAGTTGGGTCTAGCAAAAGAGATTAATTGTTTATAATGTAATAAATTAAAATTTAAATTCTCATTAAATTAAGTATCCACATTTAATACATATTCATGCCTCAAATTAAATTGCTTCAAAGATTCTTATAAACAATAAAAAAATAATTTGTTTTTGTTAAAGTTTCATTTCATAGACAAGGAATGAGTTTCAAACTGAAGACTGAGAAACACCAAGTAAGAATGAGCTTGAACTGAATAATTATTATCATCATAATATTATATATTACCTAATAATATAAAGGTCTGTTTGGTTCAAGGGGAGGGGAGGGTAGCCCTCCCTCAATTTGGAGGGGAGGCTTTGGAGAAAAGGAGGGAACCCCAACCAGACGGAACCTAAGAGTTAAAGTCAAAATTTTATTTAGAAAGAGCAAGGCAGCTTCCGCTCAAATGTTCTCCTGTCTTCTTCACGGCATTTGCTTTGGGCCGAAGACAACCAGAGAATAGCAGAGATAGGCTCGTTTCCTACGTGGCATTATTTTAAGTCTCTTCCTCCTTAGCCCTCACGTCATTATAGCCAACGTCGCCATCCCCGCTTATTCGGCTTCCCACACTAAACGCTTTTCCCGCGATTGACTTTTAGCTCACACTTTCCCGGAACGCCCCCAATAATAATTAATAAGCGAGAATTATTTCCCGAACTACCAAAACAGCCCTCCTCCTTACTCAAATATTACATCCTTTACTTTCGTTTCACCCGATGGAAAAGCAATGAAATTGTTGGGTCATTCTGGACTTTTCGACTCACGATGACATAGACGGCACATATAAAGAGACCGCGCCATTCACTTGATTCTTTGATTCCACCCGTTGCGTTGAGAACTTGTCATAGTTCAATTTCCAGAACAACGTGGAATCCGTGGCCTCAAGACAAAGAACCAGAGGAAAATGGCTGAATCAGTTACGGTAAGGGTTCCACGGAGTTCATCTCTATCTTCTTCGCTGATTAAGAAGGCAAATTCTGTGGTTCCATGCAGCCACCTCTCCGATTCTTGTTGTGCCCGGTTGATGACCCACAACAACAACAGTTTCAAGCGCAGTGCTGCCCCTAACCGCTTCATGTTCTACCGTGGAGGGTCCTGGGTTGATTTTCAGAGCCAAGTGCTGGAGTCTTTGCGATCTGGGTTCCTGGAGGGCAAGCCTTTACTGGAGGTGATCATTGGAGGGTCCAAGTATGTATTTGACTTTCTGCGGATGGTGCAGATTGATTTTGGATCCGGGAGTCAGAGATCGATTGCCTGGATCGATGAAAACGGTAAACCGTTCTTTCCCCATATCTTTGTCGACGAGGATTTTATGGATGGATTGGAGAATCCAGGAATTCCCAAAATTAATGTTGAAATTCGGGTTGGTGGGATTTTGGGCAAGAGAAAGTGCGACCACTTAGATTTAGGTGTTGATGGCACAAACAATGAGGTGAGTTCACCGGTCAAGAATAACAAGCAAGATGATGAAAATCAAGTAGCTAGTTCCAAGCGGCAGAGGCTGACCTCTTTGGGTTTGGAAACTTCTAAATGGCCCAATACGAAGTTGCTTAGTGAGAAAGAAAGCGCATATTTATTTGTGAGTTTTTTATTTCTCTCCGAGATGTCCAAAGCTTTTCGTGGAGTTACTATTTCTGCCATTCATCAATTGGATTTCTCGAGGTTGCTTGAGAGAGATCGTCTCGAAGTTTTTGAGAGACAAAGTAAAAATAAAGAAGCTACTCGAGGTGTCTCAAATGCAGTTTATGCTTGGTATGCCGCATCAGCAGAAGCTGTGGCGGGCATTTTAGCTCATGGGTTTGCATTGCCTGGCAAAACTTCTGGGTATCCTGCTTATGGAGTTGGTGTACATTTGTCTCCTTTAGGCTTACCTCAACTAAGGTAACTATTTGATCAATTTTAGTGCTTTTATGTGATCAACACATTATTGGCTTAAAATTTTCCAACTAAATAGGTGAATTTTGTTTAGTGCAATGCAGGCAGAGGTAGATAATAACGGTGATAAGCACATTGTTCTTTGCCGTGTTATCTTGGGAAACATTGAAAAAGTGGCGGCTGGTTCTCAACAGTGCCGCCCTTCCAGTGTGGAGTACGATACTGGAGCTGACGATCCTGTAAACCCTAAGTGGTATGTAGTGTGGAGCAGTAATATGAACAGCCATATACTCCCAGAGTATGTCATCAGCTTCAGATCCTCTGCTCATTTGCCAGGTAGTCAATTTTCCCCCCCTTTTCCCCCCTATATGCGCAGTTTATCGAAAACTGATCTCCTAATTAATTTTAGGTCATTCGGGAGCAAAGAGTACACTTGTAGATTTACTGAGGAAGATGAATGGTCGTATTCCTGCCCTCAAACTCAAGGAAATTATTGCTCTATATCATTCTGCATTGGTAAGCCGTTTGTTGATATTGGATATATGTTTTTATTTCCATATTGTTCGTAATTTCATCAAGGAATAACATTCTTATTTGAAAATCTCCTGTGGCATGTCATAGGCTGGAAAGGTGGCCAAAGAAATTTTCTTAGGGCAGTTTCGGGCCATTGCTGGTGACGAATTGCTTATCTCCATATTTCATGAGATGCAATGTTCAAGATGAGGTTCTTCTGAGATTTTGATTCTTTTAGAAGCACTTTAGATTGTAGAATGAATGGAGTCCATATAATGGTTAGATCGCATATGTTATCTTACTTTTAGGATATGTCAAGAAAAAAAAAAAGGTTAATCATGATGTTAGCTTGCTAGTGAGAGTAGAGGAAAAGAAAATCAATCAATTAAAGAATAAGGACACACAGAATATTTATTTTAATATTGCTTTCTTGCAAATATGTAGCAATTAGCAGTTATGTTGTAAGTTCCGTGGGAACTGAAAGGTGTTGATCTTTTAGCCTTGCTTATTTTGATTTAGTATTGCCTTCAAATGTTTCCCTTATCACTTGGCAAACTTCGTGAGGAATTTCATACCCTTGACAATGCAGTTGGGTTAGTTTACTTGGGTCAATGTCTTCTCCTGTGAATAGTTCTGTGGGGGATTCAGATTCATTGAAAGAAAATTGCTGATAGTAACCAATAAAGGATAATAAATCTAAGGTTAAATGGCAATTTGGATACTAAACTATAGGCTTAGAGGCGATTTGAATCTTGAACTCATATTTTATACATTTTGAATCTTGAAAAATTAAACATGTAATAATAATTTAGCCCTTGCTATTATTGTCAAATAAATGTCTGTTAACTATGGGCCATTTAATTTTTCTCTCTCTCTCCTCTCTTGGATCCGCCATCACTTTCCAACTGTATGTGTGAATGCATGTTTTAATTAGAAGTATCGTGAGTCATGAAATGTGAAGCTGTGGCCTTCAAATTTGAAGGGGTCAAATGGAAACTCATAAACAACAGCAGGAGTGCTTGCAAGAGAGACGATGTCCTTAACGTCAGAGGCAAAAGCAGGAAAACTCAAGTGCCCTCCAAAGCTGTGGAGCCCTATCGGGGACATCGAAAGGTAGGCCATTACAGATGTGGCAGGGGACATGTAGGACTAGGGAGGAGAACTAAAGGTTTCAATAGCATTATTTTCGATCGTGGGACACATGGACTCTGGGTTGTCGGGTTTCATACTGGAGGTTGAAGGCATGGGAACAAAGCAAAAGAGGTTTGGTTAGAGGCATGCAAAATCTCGGTGAGCACCTTGAGGCCTGCACGCAGGTTCACAAGCTGCTCTTGAGGTAGAGGAGTGGCGGTGAAAGCAAGCTTGCAGATTTGTGTTCCCCCTGTAATTCACTTTCGTGGTTGTGGGGTCTTTGTTGGATCCTACACTTGCTTGGTGGCCAAGCACCCTTGTGTATGCCTATGGGTGCATCTATGGTATCCTCTGCATGCATACTTGATGATATTTGATGGGTGAGAGGGAGGCATAGGGAGACATACTTGGTAGGGGAGGCATGCTAGTGTTGGAGGTGGAGATCCTTGTGGGAGGCTTCATTGGGAGGGCTTGAAGGTGATGTGCTCAAAAAGAAGGCAAAAGGGAATGCCATGGAATGATGGCGAAAGGTCAGCCATGGTGGATACAAGAGGGGGAGAGAGAGAGGAGGGAGCAGACAGGGAGAGATAAAAAATTATTAAAGGGCCCATAGTTAATGGATGTTCATTTGAAATTAATGTCAGGGGTTAAATTGCTATAGGTTTAATTGTTCAAGGTTCAAAATATATCAAATACAAGTTAAGGATTTAAATTACCCTTGGACTTATAGTTTAGGGTCCAAATTGCCATTAACCTATAAATCTAAATGAGGGGAAGACCGAAAGCGGTTTTATGTACTCATTGTCTAAGCACTCATTTGGCTATACAATCAGGTAAAGATTACTTGAGCAACATCTACTCTCCTCTAAACAGTTATATGGGAGCTTAAGGCTCACTAAATGATAATTGCTTCTAATAGCTAATAAAAAGAGGACAAATATAAATTGTTAGATAGAGGCAAAGTTATGAACATTTTGGTCATTATCTATATATGTGGTAATATTGATCCGAAGTGCAAATAAATGTAAATGAATAATTTGTAGGCTATTTTCGCTACTACTTTGTAATTGTAATGTAGAATGTCAATTGATTGGACACATCACAACAGCAATGATAAGCCCTATCCTACTAAATAAGGTTGGCTACATGCATCACATAACACTATTGTGTTCTATCAACAACTAACGATTCCAATATATCATTCACCAATAGATCCCATTCGACAGCTTTCTTTACTGTCCTTCTTGCCTCTCTTTACGTCTCTTCATAGGCTGAAAGGTCACTTGCTCAACCCTCCTCATTGGTGCTTTTATTGGCTTTGTTGTATATGTTTGAATCACTTTAAATGATTTTCTACCATTTTTTCCTTAATATATATCACGCCAATTTCTGCTCATATGTAATCACAAATACTATCTTTTCTTATATATCCATGCATCCATCTAAATATCCTTATCTCTACTATCCCAACTCTTTGCATTTGTCCTTCCAAGGTCCATCATTTACTACCCATATAACATTGTTGATCTTATAGTAGTATGACAATACTTTCTTTTAAGCTTTGGAACACTGCATGCATGATTTTATATTGCTATGTTTGGGCTGACAATGCGTTGGTGATAGAAGTTACATTTTGGGAAGTAAAGGGATTGAAGATTTGGAGGATGCATGTTTTTGCTACTATAGTTTTTTGCCCCTCAAAATTTCATAGATCATAAATTCATAACCACTTAAGGTCTTCCTGAATAGACTGCTGAAGAAAGAAATATAACAAGTCTTAACAACTGATGTCATAGTAGAACAGCAATGACTTTTTTAGAGAAAAACCATTAGCATATCCAAAATATACTTATTGATAAGCATGGGAGTGAACTTAAGGTACTGGGACGAGTTTATTTTGTAAATAGGCACCTGAGTATTCTAAGTTAAAACATCCATCACATGTCATGAGAAATGTGTTTAAAATACTCATCACATGTCATGAGAAATGTGTTTAAAATCAAACATGGTTTCTTTTTTCTCGATTTTTTTGACTTAACATATTCTGTACTTGTGCACCAGTGTTTAGGGGTAACATCAAAGGGATGACCAAATTCTTGCATGCCACTAAATGGTGGTAATAATTTTTGTATCCCCCTGCCCATCTTTTCTCATCGCATATGACTTGCAAGAAGTTGATGCACTTGAAATTATGAGTGGATAACCATTTACATGAATATTAAATTCTCACGATGGTGTATCCTATTGTAAACACTATTCTTTCCTGTGTGGGGCGTGCATGATCTCTCTTTTCGCCCTTTTTTTGTCCCACATCATCAGTGAGGCACTGGCCGGATCAGATCTCAAGAATTGTAAGTCCTGTTCTTCTTCTTCTTTTTTAAATAAACTTCTGCTCCGCTCTTTTTACCAAATGCAAGATGGCTTGTTGGATCCATGCGATCATGTTTGATCTCAAGCTGTTTCTACTTATATCTTAAATATTATGCATGCTGAATTTGGTGGTTGGCAGGGAATCATGAAGTTGTAACTTTTTTCCCCATTGCCAAGCACAGTTTTATACATTTTTTTTGAAGAGCTAAGTTTGTGTTAAAAAAAATTCAAGGAATGTATCCAAGGGGAAAACAGCCTTACAGGATTTGAACATATTGAGCAACTCGTTTTTAGATGACTTTGACCTTGAAGGTAGATGCATTTGATGGATTGATTTTTCCATGGTTTGATGAATATGGCTCTGCATGAGTAGTGTATAGATGATTTCTTTGAATTTCCCTGGATATATGATGTAATTTTTATTTTTTTTTTGGTTGGGTGCTGCTCAAGGGATGCAAATTTTGCTCCGCAAAATGGCTCGAGTTTTTTTGTAGGAGATTGCTGGTTGCAAGGTGGGAAATCATGCCTCTTTACTGTAAGATGCGCTTGAATGGGGTATTTATATGTCTCAAGTGATAATTTTATCGCTAAACTCCTGCTTAATCAGAGCACTACTTGAAATTTGGGGGATGACTTAGATGAATCAATTTCTTTTTTCCTCAGGCTCTTGAGTAAACTGTGTTTCTAGGATTTTCTCAGGCTGATCGCTGTATTCATCATGTTATACTTCAAATATAACTTATTTTGTTTCTTCCTGATGCACTATGACGGTGCTTACTAGTCACTGGTATAGTGGCGAGGCATTTGTGTTACCTGGTGCAAGAAATCATCGCACTGGTATAGTGGCGAGGCATTTGTGTTACCTGGTGCAAGAAATCATCGGCTTTTAGACCTTCGCGCTGTATTTGTATGGAAGAAAGAATACATGCATGCTATTTGATGACGTTGTTGCTGTATCTGTGCCATCATCTGTTGCAGCAGGTTCTTCGAAATCTACCATATATGGGTATCAGGAGTGGCCTTGTGCTTGCAGATTTTTATTGGAAGGGTGCAAAGTTTCTGTCATCAGGGACTCTTCAGGTGATCCAAAACTAAAGGGCAATCCTTATGTGAGAAATCATGCGTCGAGTTTATCGTCAACCAGTGGGTCAGACATGCAAAGTTATTAACAACCGTAGTCGTCAGCTTTATTTGACTCAGAAATCCGGACTAGCCCGCGAAGAAATCCCCAAATGTAGTTCTGAATTTGTGGAAGAATTATCTTTATTTTTAATTTTTAATTTTTTGTGGTTAAGGGAATTTTCCCACTTAATGGAATAAAAGCTTGTTGTTGTTGTTGTTGTTGTTTCCTCAGTGAGTTTCAGACTGGGCTGAGTCAAGTGATCTGCACAAACATCAGTTGCATTGGCCTAAGGTAAATGTGCTCCCCCCACAAAATCAAAAATTGTGTGCAAATGAGCAAGGACTATTCAAAATTTAAAGTTCCTTCTAAAAAATGACATTCTGATTTTCATACCCCTTTTGTATTGGGCATTTTCGTTTTCCTAAGAACGCTTTCTTGGGAAGTATATTTTTATTTTTAGATATAAAACATAAAATTTATATATAAAAAAATAGATAAAAATAAAGAAGTATCTATATTCTCCTTCAATTCTCAATCAAATAATACATGTTTATAACTTAGCGTGTCATTATTTGGTTTTTGGCATCATTGATTCAAGCATTATTGGGTTGAAATAATAGTTGCTCCCTTGATGTATACCTTTTTATCTATAAATTTAAATCAACATTGTTGTCTTAAGCTATCCAAGTTATTTGAGTCTCTTTCATTTAATCACTTTTAATAGCCAATAGTCTTTTGATTTAGTAAAATAATATAAAACTACTTTATTTTGTGAGAATTTATATATATATATATAAAATTTTTGCATGAGTTTTGATATTTCAAGTATTTGACTTAAACTAATATGATTGACAGTTTGCAAGTACTTTTTTAGGGACATGTCCCACTAAAAAATTTAGTGCGAGGGCAATTGGTTATTTGTGTTGAATAAGTAATGTATCTTAAATATGAGAGAAAGATACTACGATTTTTCTTCTATTTTACTAAGATAATAGGGACTTCTTTTCTATTTTCAAAACATACAATTTACTCTAATTTTTAACTTTGATAATTTTTTCCTTCTAATTATGATGGAAAATTTACAATTATTAATATTTTTTTATAATCGAATAGTATGTGCTCTTTCTCTCTTGAAATTTAATGAACTTTAAATAATTAATTATGATAAAATTTAAATAAATACTTTAAAAATATTGTTTGAAATTGATAAAATTTACCAAAAAAAATCATATTAAATAATTTATGTCTTATTACATTAAATGCTTATTTCATTAAGCTTTTTTGTGTGTGTGTGTGTTTATTATCTTAGCCAACTTGTGTATTGTTTTTCAAAACAATTAATAAATAATTTTACATAACTAAAAATAAGATATGAATATAATTTAAAAAACATGCATTATTTTTGGATATTTTAAATATTTTTTAGATAACATTCATATTTAAAGAAAAGTATTTTGACATAATAAATGTGACTTAACAATTAATTAATTTCCTATTGGGTTGGAGGGGAGGGAAAAAAAAAAATTCTTACCTTTGTTTGAATGGGACAAGACAATGGGAGCGCCCCTCCCCTTCAAATTAAGAAGAGTTGGAGTATAGTCGAGAATTCGGGCGGGTCGGGCCTATTCGAGTCCGGCCCGAATAAGTCCGACCTGAAGAGGCCCGAGTCTTTAAAGAGCCCGAATAGCCAAGCCCGACCCAAATTCTTTCCGACTTCGGGCGGGCCGAATACCCGAATTTAATTTTTAAAATTATTTTTAATTATTTTTTACTTTGAAATTAATTATTTTATTTTAGAAAAAATATAAAATATATTTTTTTAATACTTAAACGATGTTTAGGACTCAAATATATGGTATTTTAGTATAAAATGATCTAAAATTAAAGAATTAATTAATATTTATTATATTTTATATATTTTTTAAAAATATAATTATTTTATTCGGATATTCGGGCCAAGCCCGAACCCGATCAGGCTTGACCTGAATTTTTTTGGGCCTATTCAGGCTGAATAGGTCCAAACATAAAAAAACATTATTTTTTTTAAATTTGACCCTAAAATTTTTTAGGCCAATTCAGGCTAGCCCGTCAAACTTGGCCCGAATTATTGGTTCTAAGTTGGAGAGATTTCTTCCCATTATTCTCTCCTCCCTTCCTCTCTCCTCCAAGCAAATACAGTGCCTGATGCTGTTATAAATTTATAATTGATTATTTGTATGAAAATTATACACACACTCAAATCTTTAAGTAATCGATTATTTGCCTCAAACTGCGTTTTGCAATAAGCTAATCTCTTTAGCTTTTCAATTTTGATTATGTCTGTTGAAGCATTTATTATTTGTCAGCATTTCAAAACGCAGCCATTCATGCTCTATGACGCTGTCATTTTGCACATACAGTACCAAAAATAGCCTTGGCCTTTTGTGGCTCATAGTTTATGGCATTGCGTTGCATGGGAATCTCTTCTTGGCATTCCAATATGCCCTGTGCATTCATTTTGTTAAAGTTTAATATGAAAAAATTAATAATTTGTTATAACTGAGTCATAATTATGAAGATCAAGTTATAATGAATTAAAGTTTAATGATTAAATTATAACCAAATTAAAATTAGAGGGATCAAATGATTAATTGTTCCATATATTACATGCAATTTTATCAATATTTACCCTAAAATTCATGTCCTTTATTGTAATTTATATATTTAAAATTAATTTTGATTAAAATTATCCAAACACCTTCAATTTTACTAAAATTAATTTCAAAAAATATCATCCAAACACAATCACATCATAACATAATCAATTATAATAAAAAAATATTTTTAATTAAATTTTTATAATTAATTATACATAATTGAAATTTAAACGGGCTCATAGTATTACGGATCGGATGGATGGAGTGAAATCTTTAAAATATGAGAGAGATTTGTGTTTTGTGATTATTAATTCTATCAGAAATTTGTATAGGTTTTTAAAAATAGAATGATGGTATATGTAAGTAAGATAAAATAGAGGGGAGATCAATATATTTTACTTAGGATTTAAGTATAAAAATGTTAAGGTCAAAAGAAGTATAACAAGGTTTGTTTATTTATGTATTAAAATCTATCTTTGTTTGTTCGAATAAGAGCTTTCATTAGCATGCAACAGCTTGGATCTTTTGCATTTTTTTTTTTGGGGCTCTTCCTCTTCTCAGATTTATTCGGTGGTCTAGACGTTAATGCATGTGGGAGAAAATAATTTTGATTTACTTTGTGAGGTTTATACGGATATACCTTTTTCTTTTCTTAATTCTCATAGGCTAATTTCTACTAGAACTGAATGTAATACCTTAAATCCTTCCATATTTTAGTGGATTTTAAGTTGTTGCACTCATGCTCGTGTCAATCTCAAGTGGTCTTTAGTGACGTGGACAAATTAATGGAAGTGGGTATGGAATTTTCGAATGCAACTTAGTGAGAGCAGAATAATGAAATCACATTTATGTTCCTTGCTCCTCCAATTTTCAACTCTCTTTTTTGCTTTCTTTTCTTGGTTCTCAATGTCACATATACGAAAGAATATTCTTAACCTATTATTCAGTGCAATATTCTTAACCCATAAATTCAGTATAAAACAAACCACACCAACAAATAACTTGAATGACTTGAAAACAATATTGTATATACCTCGACAACATGAAGCATATAATGATGAGAGTAGGGTGGCAATTTGAGAAGCAAATATTTTTGCTTTGGATCGAAGTGTGTGTGTCTGTGTGTCTGATCTCTGTTAAAATTTGAGAATACTCAAGTTGTTATCATGTGCTGAGGATAAAATTATTCTGTTTTATTATTCTAAGTGCTGCCATTCTTTGAGTACTGTGCTTCAAAATTATTAAGAGTTGACTGGACCTAATAATATTCAGCCATATGTCAACGCTTTATCCTCAGGATTAAGAACATGTCGGAATGCATTGGAAACACATCGAATAAGAACTAAGGAGACATGCAAAATCCCAGAGATCAAAGTTGTTGCATCATCGATCATCCAAATGCTTATCGCATCCACCACATTAACATACATACATACGTAATCATGCGATTATGCCTTTGACATTTGCTTCAACATCAATATCGATGTAAATGTGCAAAACTTGTTATTTTTATTCTCTTAGTGATAAAGTATTACAAATTATGCGTGGTCCTCGAAAGAGGTTAAATTATGAGCTACTAACAAAATTTGAATACTATTGCACCATGACCTGATGAAAAAAACTGAGTGAATATTCAAGTATGAGTGAATATTAGACGATGTGAAAAGTCAAATATCAAATAAAATTGATTTTAATAATTAATATAGAATTAAGTGAAAGAATCCATAAACTTGGATCCCAATATTTTAAATTAGGATGTGATATTTTTTGCATTATTTTTTACCCATTCCTTCTCTCTCCCTGTTTTCGAGCAGTATAGTGTTCCTCAGCATGATTGCTATAAACTTTGGTAGAAGATTTTGCCATAGTAAGATTTTTTTTTTTTTTTCCCTTTCTCTTCATTGTTATCCTTAGACTTCTAATTCTCTTTCCTGGCTAATCTAGAAACTGGGGCTTTTCATATCATTGGATGAAGAACTTGATCTTCATTAACCTAGAAAGTAATCTGAAAATAATCTTATGTAAAATGAAGCTATGAGCAAAAAATACAATGAAGAGAGGATGAGAAGAGGAATATCGTATATCGCTTCATTATTAAATCTAAATCCTTCTTAAATTTTACTGAAAATGAACATAAATTATATAAATTTGCACGTGTTGGTATAAACGTTATTATTAGAATTTTAAGACTTATATTATGTACTCTTCATTGCTCTTTTTAAAATTAGTATTCTGAGTTCTAGAAGAACACTAAGCTATTAATCGCAAGATGCTGGAACCACAAAACTTATCAGTGGTGTCTGAGAAAGCAGTGCACTAAATGGGTGAATGAAAGGCCGAAAAAAGGACGAGATCGAAAGTGACGCGAGAAGACTTCTGGTGACCCATAAAACTGACGGTGAGCAATTTTATCATTATCACTTATTTTTTTTTTTTTTTATGAACATTTGACTGATCAAATTCGTGCATTGATGGGCCCGACTAGAAATAATTCTCTCAAAAACATTTTTTACATCACTCGTAATTTTATTAGTTATGAACCAGCCTTCTTGATTTTATGAATATGATGTGAAAAATCTAATTCAAAAAAAAATTTTTACAAAAATTAGCGGTAGTTAATCTTTTTAAATATTATATTTTAAGTCAGGATTTTTTAGAAAAAAAAAAAGGGAGTGTTAACCTTGATTACACGGATCCTAATATGCATATCAGATGCAATACA